AATTTTTAATGGAGTTATGAGCAATTAAAGTCAAAATAATTCTTTTATTTAATCCGCGATAACTCAGTAATCAAAAGTCGTAGGAATATTTAAAAAAAACGATTTTGTAGGGAAAGTATCAAGCTTTCACGATAGGTAATCGAAAATTTTCTCAAATTCGTTTTGGACACGTTACAAATCCACAAAGTGAGAAGAAAATTTTTCGTCTTTTTCAGCTCGTAGTTTTTGGTATGTAAAAAGTATAAAACTCATATAAACTTAAAAAATGTGATAAGCTTTTAAAAGTAGAGATTTCAAGCTTTAAAACCCTTTTTTTAAATTTGAATTTCATTCATTATTGACGAAGATATTGTATATACAACTTTGAGCTAAAAAATACGCGATGACTTTTTACTCAACCTAATAATAAACTTTATTAATTAATTTACTTTTATATTACAATTTGTTTTTATTGAATTTTATTATTTATAAAATATAAATATTCAATAAAGACAGTGTGCAATGTGATATCAAGAATATTATCACTACTTCCTCACTGAGTGGGTAGTATACTTTTTATCACATAATATAAATAAGCGCGTCCATTGTCACTCGTAATATTTAGTCTCGAGAATTTGTATTTTCAACGTGTAATAATATAATAATCATGTTGCGACGTGTGTTAGTAATGCTTTTATATGCAATAATATACCGTGTGGCGTCGGAAAATTCAGTTGCAACTGATACGGCAATCAACGGATTGATAAGTAAATTAATATATATAAGAAAATAATTGCAAAATATATCTCGCTTTGGTAATTTATCTGAGACTTAAAGAAGAGAAAGAAAGAAATATTATAACTATGTTATATCTTGAATGTTAAATTGATATTTATCTTTCATTAATGTCATTTAATTTACTTTATGTATATGTATTCCATCGTAATCGTTGTACGGGAAAATATTTCAAAAAATTCACAAGATTTTCCTACAGCTTCAGGCAAATTATTACCGAACGCAAATGGAAATTTGTCTCCGGCACAGCAGATTATTTACATTTACGGGCCGCGTCAAGGGAAAATTTGGCAAGACGGTAACAATTTCATAGAAAAAGCAGGAAGCGATTACCTTATGACACCTGGTATGGGTGCTCACAAACTTCACGTTCGCAAGCTGCCGTGGAACAAAGCTCGTAGAATTTGTATTGAAGAAGGGGGTGAGTTTCTAACAGTGATTTTATTTGATGATTCGGCCTATCGAATTGCTCTTCCATGTTTTTTATCATTTTCTACGAGCAATAATGAAATTCTATTTCTTAAACTTTCTTTTGTATGAAGAGTATATTAACGAACGTCTAACAAAACCGAAAAGCAAAATTACGTAACTTTATCAGATTAACGCAAGTCCACCTAACGATGTAGGTCATTTGGCTATCATTAACTCCAATTCGGAGGAAAAATTACTGCTGCACATCTTAGAGGAGAACAAAGTAAATCAGGCATGGCTCGGCGTGCACGATCTCTATGAAGAGGGCGATTGGAGCACGATCATGGATGAACCTTTGGAAGCTACGGGATACTCAAAATGGACATTGAAAATTCCTAACCTGCCTGACAACTATAACGGAAAACAGCATTGCGGGATTCTTCTTAAGGACGGAGGAATGGATGATCTCGAATGCACTGCAGCAGTTGCTTTCTTCTGCGAAATTACTCTCTGAATTCTCATAAATCACGTGAACGCAAGATCGTAATCAGACGTGGTAACAGTGTGCGCTTTATCAAAGATTATCTATAATTAAATAGTCATTCTAAGATGTGCTATTAAGATCAAATTACAACGCAGCCAGTAACAACGCAGGCGTATTTTTTTTTTTTTTTTTTTACGATTAATGAGGTTACAGATTAATCTTACGATGAAGATGATTATAGGTCATAAGGTCTATTTTTATACTAACGATTATCTTTAGGGATATATTTAAATAAAGATATTAAATACCATGGAACACGCGTAATGTATATTAGAAAATGTGAGAAACTTATATTTTTACAAAATACGTTGATTCTTTAAAAACATGTACCTTTAATTAAAAGGATAAGATAAAAAGAGGATGATTTTCATAAATAATATAATATAAACCGAGAAAAAAAAAAATGAAAAATGTTATAGTATTCTGGATTAATTATAATAGTTGAAATTGAACGGAAGATCTAAATTAAGTGACTCGAGTTATATAACTAGAGCTATCACTTTAAACATCTCCGTTATTGAGAACATTGAAATGGGAAGGGTGGAAGAGGCTCGTTGCAGCTCAAAGGTCAAAGGGCATTTGTATTCCGTGTATCTCTCAACTATGGATCAGCAGACTGCGTATGCAAAAGGCAACAGCAAGCATTCTTCGCGGTTCCATCCGATGTTTCTTTACATCGGTTTGCATTCGTCATGTT